TGCTTGTGGTAATTACATGTTTTCTCCTTCTGTTAGATATGGAGTTTTTCCATGAAGTCTGCATGCTGCAGACATGAAATTGTCATCCAAACAGATCCAAAGAACTGTGAGTATGTGATTATTTCTGGGGCACGGCGGAAGATCGAAGAGTATGAAGCTGAAGATGCAGAAACCATGGTACTCCCTGTTGAAGATGGTAAGCAATCTCTATTGTGGGTAGAGTTTTAATTTTTCCCACACTTGCTCTGAATTGGAAATAATGCAGGTTTAGGCTTTGAAAACTTATTAAACATACCAAAATCGTCTGGATTTTTCAAACCTGAACTGACTAAACAAAAATTGACAAACACCCATTATAATCTAGCACCAATAAGCTCTTAAATCTTTAATGAGTCAAATATCATTATTATTGTGCTTTGGGTTCATTTCTATGTGGAGTAACATAGTATGCGTGTGTGAATTTTGCATTGACGTAAATACGTAATTCATTTTTTATTTCTTACTTTCCGTTGATTTCAACACAGATCGTAGTAAGTTAGCAGATCCCTTCTACCGTCTTGAGCACCAGGAGGAAGATTTAAAGAAGAAGAAAGAAGCTGAGCCCTTACTTGTCCGTCTTCAAAGAGTATCAGATGCACGGCACTCTGATGATTATTCCTTAAACAAGGCCCTCCGAGCCAGGCTAAGGGTATAGTGTGCTCAATTCTTCACTCTTGGGTTTTTCTCATTACCCTTTGTCCTTAGGGAGCATTTGGGTCAGGTAATTCCAAATTACCTCGGCAGTGTGATTTGCAAGATTAGATAATTAGTGTAATTTAATACTTTGTATTGCCTACCGTCAAGGGTGAAAATAGTTGATGTGAGGGGTAATTTGCTCTGGGTTTTTAAGGTACTCTAATCTAATAAGATTACTGTGTATTCCCTTCGTTCAAATGGTGTTCACATTAATGAATGATCACCTCATTTGAAGCTCATTTCGTTTTGTTTATTTGAAAGTGGACAACTAAATCAGGACCGAGGAAGTAATATTTTAGACTAGTCCGATTTTGGCCATGGATCCCAATTTAACCTCATGGAGCTTCACATTTAGTGAATGAAATACAAGTAGCCCCATATAACCTCTCATTAGGTGAACGTGAACCAAACGCCCCCTTAATCCTTCATTTCCATGAAATAATCTTTGAAAGATATGAGCACAGGTCCAGAAGAAACGAGTTGCAGATGAAGAGGCTGCTGCCCGGAAAGCAGGACTTGGTTTCAGACTGCTTCCGGCATCTGAAGAGGATGCTGCGACCGCTTCCCACATCAAATTCGCACTCAAATTTGACAGGAACAGGAATGACAAAAGAGCATTGATCAATGCCTCCTCCATATTTTCCGACTCCTCCATGAAATCGGAACTGGAAGCAAAGAGGAGGAAGATAAACGCCGCTGGTGCGTCCAGATTACTGGTTGGTGGATTCAAACCGTCGTCTTGGGCCAGTAGCAAGAGGATGTGAGCCAGCTATTTTTGTGCGGTAAAAATGCTCTTTTAACATGACATTGATGACACCATTATATCTCACAGACAATGACTACATACAATGATTGTCTATGTGTGTCTCTGAAACATCATAAATGATGTCGGAATTTGGTGTTCGTGTAGCATGGTCCATCTTGTGGGTGCTTGTAACATAAAACTCAATGAGTGTGCCTGTAGTGTTTTTTAGTCCACTGCTTTGTTCTTGATTCCATACATCCATGATCCATACTTGGCTCGGTTTGCTGGGGTGAATATTTTTATATCTTCCTATGAAAAGTATTTGTTGCATAACATTTTTTGAATCGTGACATGTACTCTGGCTCAAAAAACTTTTCATGCTTTGAATAATGTTTAAAATTTTCTATTTTAAAATATTTTTATTAATAAAATGGTAAGGTATAGAAAAAAAAGTATAATTTACATATTCAAAAACAACATCAAAAATTTTATAAAATGAATAGTGACAAAAATATTTTATTTTATCAAATAACTAATAAAAAAGCACACGTAAATCAGAGTATTTGTGATGAGAAAGCGTGTGAATTACAATTACTCCATAAATTAAAGGAGGTGTGACAGACAGGAACATATATATATATATATATATATATATATATATATATATATATATATATATATATATATATATATATATATATATATATTCTTCATCGTCATCATCTGTTCCTCTAGGTCTCACCTTCTCCCTCCCCATTTTACTTTCCCAGTCATATTTTAGAATAAAATAAAATATGATGCATGAATTCCGGCAAATGTATTCAGATTCAGTCCCTTTCACCACATCGCATTCACCAATGATCTCATATCCCTCTCTAGTAAAACTGATAAAAAGTAAAAACCTATGGTTGGAATTCATGTATTCCTTGGGCCATTCATTAAAACATTCCTCTTTTATTTTTTTTCTTTCATCAAAATATTTTCGATTTTTATTAAAAACTCATTTTTACCTTTATTTTATTTTTATCTTACCTATCATATCATATTTTTTCTCTAATAAACTATTCATCACATCTTACTTTATCCATCACAAAGGAAGCATTGAAAGTCAACTACTCCCTCCGTCCCAGAGTATTTGTCCACTTTGATTTTTACACACCATCCAATGCACTTCTTTAATCCATTTTATCTTGTAATTTGTATATTAAAAAATTATAGAAATTATATATTAATAATCTATATGTTAAGACAAATCAAACAAGATCACACATAACTATATTTAGACTTACACATTGAGAGAATTTGATGAGTCAAAGTGCTTAGATGAACAGTTCCAAACGTCAAAAGTAGACAAAAACTGTGGGACGGAGGAAGTACAATTTAACACCTCTTTATTTTGGTACGTGGTCCAAATGGGAAGTGTTTTCAAAAACAAAGTGAGTAGAATATTTTCTTGAACGGTCAAATGAGATAAATATGAAGTTTTTTTTTTGAAGAACTAGAAAAGAAAAGTGTGACTTAAATCGAAAGATTTAATACTTCATGAATTTAAGATGTACATTCAAGATTTTTTTAAAATTTGATCTCTCATATTCTTTAGAGTCTGTACACTTTGATGCACAAAAATCATTAGGATTAGTTTCTCATTATGATTGGCCAATTTCGACCAGAAGTGATATATCCGCAATTGATTCGACCACATATGTTTAGATTACACTCTCTTCGTCTAATAATAAACTTTCTATTTTGAACAACATACAAAATTTCATTGTTTTTAAAATTACTTTATTTACAATGGGGTATATCATAAAAAAAATACGGAGTACAAATTACAATACAAATCACTCTATTGAACTTTTAATAATAGTAAAAAAATAAATACTCGTATATAAATGGGGCAAGGAGCAGTGGAGTACTAGGTACGTATAGTACCACACATTAAATGGAAGATTTTAATAAGGTTAGAGTATTTGTGTGGGTATATATATGTGGTTGAACAAGAAAAGTGGTTGAGGGTGGCTTAACTTGTCCACCNACCATCGTGTATGCACTAGCCCTAGCAAGGGACTAAAATATTCGGATGCCTCCATCATTTCACAAAACAAACAATGATTCTCTCCTAATTTTTTCTTACACATTTCGGTAAACGAATTTAGTTAAACAAAACTAAAACATAATGAATATCTGAATGTAGTATTATATATCTTTATTTTTTAATGTAGTATCACTGTTCAATGACCACTGGTCATTCTTCAAATAAATAAATGTCCAGTGCCACTGAACATTGCTCTAATTAAATGTCAACCATTATTGGACATTATTCCCGCTACTAGACATTATTCAAACTAAGTACTATTTAGAGAATAAAAATTTTAAGTACTGCATTGTGAAAGAATAAACGTTTTAGTACTTCTTAGTTCAAATTTCACAAAAACAATTTTATCCATCTGAAATCCTCGTGAATGCACCTTATTTTTATTTTTAATGCAGGTAGAAATTATTTTGGGATATTTTAGGAGGGATATAAATATTTTGTGTGATGCGTAAAAAATAAAACGGAATTGTTTTGTAAAACAGAAGCAATAATATGGATATTCAAACAACTGAAGTGGAGTAATATTTACTTCAACTGTGAAAACGATTTCTAGTTTTAACTTCACGGGCATAAAAAAATGTTGTAAAAATACTCCTTATCAAATAGTGAAGATTATGTGGAAATTTGTTTAGAGGAGAGACATATATACTTTTAGTCATATATATTCTTTTTTAAAATAAGAAAGAGAAAAATGTAAGATTATTTTGAAACAGAGGTAGTACGTAAAACAATTGTGCAGGATTTACAAACAAAATAATATATCCCTAATTACAAAACACCATACTCCTTTTCTCTAAAAAAACATGGTATATTAAGTTTGTTTGTTACGGAGTTCAAGAAAATATTCAACAAATAAATACGGAGTTTATGATTAGATTTTATTTAGATGGGAGAAAATTTTGCATGTTAGATGTTCATTACTTAAAACAAAACAAAATAAGTTCGGAGTACTTTTTTCGAGTAAAATTTCATAATTGGTTCTTTATTATAAAAAGTTTTCATATTTAATCATATTTATCAAATATTAGGCTCGTGATTCTTCTTTTTGGATTCCTTTCCACAAATAATTTTTTTGATCTTCTGTCATGCTGACGTTAATTTGAAGACTAAAAGTATAATTTCACAATACTTTCTTCCCACTTCCCCTTTTTCCCACGTCCCAATACCCTCATGTATTTACACCAATTATCTTCTAACTCTATATTTTGAATGATTGCAAAAAAAAAAATCAAAAAATCTTTTTTAAGGAGGGTAAAATTTGAAGTCAAAGCCAAAAATTAAAAATGGGGAAAAGTCAAACTGGGAAGAAAGAATTAGGACGGAGGGAGTATCATATTATATTTTATATACTCCCAATGTTTTGGTAATATAGTCGCTATCTGAAAATAAACTACAATTAATAAAATATCATCAATGAAATGAACCATTAAAGTCCAGTATTTATTGGAGGATAAATGTTTTTCTCGGTCCACATGCTCGAAATAAAGAAATTAAATGTAGGAGTACTTCCCAAAGAAATGATGAGGGTTTAATTAATTTTTATTTTACAAAAGAAGAAGAAAAAAAGATGACCTTCATCTTGAAAACTCTCTAAAGTGAGATTTACTTGTGAAGATTACCCTTATGCTTTAGTAATATTTTTACCTGAATCAAAATGGAGCCATCTCCCAATTCCCAAGAAACCCCATGAAGTTGCCATTGTTGGTAATAATCATATTGTAATCACCTTCTTCTTCCTTTTCTTCAAAAGGGCTTATCATTGTAGGGTTTGAACAATGTTCATACACCATCGCCTTCTCTTTAGTTCTCTCCATCGGCTCGTTTTTCCCGAAAAAGACGTTTTTGCCCTCGGTCGCTTCGCTCTTATTATTGTTCCCTTCTTCACTGCAACTAGATGGAGATGTGATGAGCTCTCTGATTGCACACTCGGACTTGGACAGAAGCCACTCAATGGTTTTACTGGCCTTGTCAAACCCTAACATGTCTTGGAGGTCAAAGAACCTTCTTGCAACGTGCAGCGACAGCCGCATCCGCCGGTCCCTAACCCCTTGCGCCGTGCAGATCTTGCTGTGCCGGTCCTTCTTCCCCGTCCTCCTCCTCAGACCCGACGAACCCGCGGGCCTTTTTTTCTTAATGACTTTTTTACCCTCCCCCGCTGTTTCGCCTCCCCGGACGTGGTTAGGTCCTGGGAGGTGGCGGTGTTGGGAGAATATCTGGCCCAAGGGCGTGTCGTGATCATTGCCGCGATTATCGCCTGGGAAAGGGGAAGGGAAGGGGAAGAAGAAGGGGGGATCTCCATGGCTAGGGTTTTGAAGGTCATAGTAAGATGGAAATGGTAGGGGGCTTTTGGGAAAAGGGTTGTTGTTTGGGGAAAACATATGTGAGACTTTGAACAAGTTGAGTTCTTTTCAGTGATGTGCAGAGGAGATAGGGTTTTGAAATTGAATTCAAGTATCTATCTCTTCTTTCAAGAATTACAGTTGGCTGGCTTTATTAATTATTTGTGTGTGGTCCTTGGCTTGAAGAAGAGTGTCTTTTGATTTTATCTACTTGCTCCCTATACATCCTAGCTAGCTTCTGCATTTTATAGGCAAAATAATTTCTTGGAGAAAGTGACAACTAGGGCTGGACTTGTTCAATAAGAGATGTAAAAAAAAAGATGAGCCCCATCCTCGAAGCCTCTAAGATGTGCTCGAACAATCACTGAAAAGAGATGAACTGGATTTTGTTCGCAGATTTGTTAATAAAGAGTTGAGTTTGCACCCGATACTCACGGAGGTCTTATGCATAGTTGACTCTCGATGCAATTGCCAAGAATCAAACTTGCATGGTATATTTCTTGGCACTCATTGCCTTTACCAATTACGCAACGCCCACCTGGACTTGTTCAATAACACAAGTAAACTGTGATGGAGATGGAACCCAACATAATAGTCATAGTTTGAATTTTTATCATTTTGGTGATGCGAAAATCGCCTCTCAACGAGAGTACCAGGTGATACAAAAATCGTATCGGATAGGGAAGAACCTCGAGCATCTTCGGGCTCCAAGAAAGGGGAGGCAAAGAGAGAAGGAAAACTTCGTGCGTTTCCGAGCTCCAAGAAAAGAGAGATGAGATTAGGGTTTTGATTATTACATTTTTTATTGATTGATTAAGAATAAAGAAGGGTTACAATATATAGAAAGCACAGGTAACCCTAATTAACCTAATGGGCTCGGGCGCAAACTAAAAGCCTAAACATGATGAACTACATAATATTAATAAATAACTACCTAATAATAAATACTTCCTCCGTCCCAAAAGGTTTTACATATTTTGACTAAAGTTTAAATTAAGAGAGGGATAATTTTGTATTGACTTTCCAAAAATAACCTTGATTTGATGTGTAAAAGTAGGATGCGATGTGTAGATTATAAGGAAAAAGGTATGATGTGATATGTAGGGTTTGAAAAAGTAAGGGGTAAAAGTGGTTTTTTCATAGAAATGGGTAGGAGATTGTAGGACGCAATTTTTTTGAAAGGTGTAAATCTTTTTGGGATGGAGGGAGTAAGTAATAAGTATATTTAGCTATAGTATATATTTAATAAAATTAAGTTTATTTTGAGATATATTCTGTAAATTTGATGTATAAAATTTTTTACGATATTTATTTATTTATTTAAAATTATGCTCCGTGTTTAGTTTGTTGTTGAGGAAATAACAAAAGAAAATAAGAACGATAATTCTGAGATGAAGAGAGTACTTGATTCATAAACTCAAGGGTCATGCTACATTTACACCACATATTATACCCCATTTGTACACCGCAGTTATACACAAATATTTTGATGGTTTACACCGACACAAGTGTTTGTGCGTTAACAAAAATGTACATGGACACAAAACGTTGGTGCATTAACAAAAATTAGTTTTACACCAACACAAAGTATCGGTGCAAACCTGCGGGGTACAAAGTGGGGTACAAAAGTTGGGGTACAAGTAGCTTTATCCTAAACTCAAATACGGAGTAACATTTTCAACCTTTTGTGTCTAGAAATTAAAGTTTTAAATCTGTTGGTATCCATTATGTTATGTGAGCTCAAAATCTACTCCATACTTCAATTCTTCTGTTAGGTTTTATCCATTCATTATGTGTCCTATCACTGTGTATCACATTGTGATTAGCATGTTTAGTAGTTAAAAAATAAGATACTCCCATTAACCTTTCCCACTCCAAAACAAAAATCAAAATATTTTATCACTTTAATTGAAAAATAAATTTTAATAATCTAGATACGTATATTCTAAATACAAAAGTGTTTATTTACTTAGTTATAAAAGCCTCAACCATAACCCCATCTTGCCCACCGACTTGTAAAAGAAGAAGTATTTTTTAGAATGGAATCACATAGATAGAATAATATTACTCTGAATGTATTATCTTTGTTTGATTTTACGTGATTTTAAAAAAGTGTAAAATGTAAAAAGTAAATCCTTAAAATTCATTTTATAAAAATTATCATGGACCATAATATTTTAAACAAATTCACAAATAAAAGGAAGAAAATTAATTTGAGTGAGAGTAGTAAAGTTTAAGAGACACATTATCACGTGGGAGCAGGTGAAGTTGATAGTAACTTGCCGGACCTTCACTCCTTTTTATATATATACTCCCACAGCACGTTTCCACAACAAATTGAATGTCTTACATTTAATCATACGGATGAGTTTTAATTTTGTTAAAGGATGTGCAAATTATTGTGACGAGTTTATTGAATCATGACCCTCTGCGATTTGATAAATAAATATCGTTAATTTATATAGTTTCAAAACTTGTATCGCTACTTCTCATTATTCTGTTATTGCTACGTCAATGCTTCTCTCGACTAAAATATCTTTCAAATATTATGCGAATAGCTCCTCTGTAACCCTATGATATTATAAATGGGCACAAACGCCAAGAAGCTAGTTTTTTTGTTTGATCCTGTAGAATAATAATAAAATTTATTAATTGAAATATTACATGAAAGATTATTATAAAACAAGAAATAACATAGGTATATAAATACTTCAAATGATTAATTAAAACAAGTGATTAAAATAATTAAAGTTTAACGATGAAATAATAAACAAACAATTTAAAATGTACGAAAAGATACAATAGAAAGAGCATGAGAGCCATGTAGCGAGGCATAATAAGATAATTGGGCCCGATCATATTGGTTACAACCAAGTGAAAACCCAATCAGAACTTGGAACAAAAAGAAAGCAAAATAGCAGGCCAAAGTGTGTTTGGACTTGGGCTTTAAATATTTCAAACTCAGCCCTTGTTAACGTGCCCTTGTTAACATCATAGTAGTAAAATCATTTTACAGTTTAGGGGGGCTTTACAATAAACCAATGGCCCAAGGCCCAAGTGAGATCATGATCAATTTCAGCATTAATGGAGTAAAAATAGAGAAAGTATCAAAATAGGAGTTGTATATTTTTATATCTAAAATAGGATTTCAATGCCAATAATACCAACATATAATACAAAAAAATACTACAGTATAGAATATCAATACACAATGTCAGATTCTCAGAGGACAATAGCCTTATTTTAAACTTAAAAATTTGAAAATTATATTTTGATACTCCGTACATTCTTTATGTTTTACTCCTAATAGGATAATATTTTTTAAATTAATAGGATACCGATCCCAAAAACTTTAAAGCTTAATGACACTCCTATAACTCTCCCAAATGGGAGGTCATGTGTTCAAACCCTAGAAAGAACATAACTCTTCGGACTTCAATAGTTTGAAAATGTATGAACAAATATCACTTTATAACATGTTGAAGCCTAAGGTGAAAAAAATATTTTTATAAACAAGAAGGAATTGTCAAATGCTTGGGGATGAACTCTGACGATATGATTATGTCTAATGTTTGGAGAGGAATTGTGTATTTGATTCAAGTTAAGCTCATTATGGGCAAAAGACAAGGTTCTGCCATGATCAAACTTTGGTTGATAAAAAACCACTTTGTGATCTCGTGTAGGAATTTGGTAGCTAGCAGGACCTGTATGTTACACTTGTGGAACTTTGGAATGGCTATAGTGGGTGGAATTGGGAGAAAATTCCAAACCTCCCACATAACATTACTTCTTTGATGCAACTACGAGTTATGGAGTTGTAGACGGATGAATTCTGTACTACTAGAACTATGATCGTACAGTAAGTTTTTGGTTACGCCAGCTTAAAATCTAATTGGGGAGTTTGCCCACAACGTGTGGGAAGGCAAGTGGTTTTTATTTGGAAGATTAAAGTGCCAAGTAAAATTAAGGTTATACCATTACAACAATAAAGAGCAATAAAGACACGTTCCGTGGAATATGCTTCGAAGCCATCTTTCGCGAATAAAAGAAGGTTGCGTATTGTCTTGCCAACACTAGTGCTTTTCAAGAAATTGCATGGAGAACTTTTGATCGAGGTTCTTGGTGCAGATCAATAAAACTTAATTAATTTTTAAAATAAAATATTATTGTCACCTTTTATTTTATAGAATTTTTAACATAATTTTCAGTATGTAATTTTTATTTTTTATTGATGTAATAATTTGTAAATAAAATAATTTCAAAAGATATAAATTTTAGCTTGTGAATCCTAATTTGTAATCAAATTTAGAACATTGGGAGTATAACATGTGGTGTTTAAAGTAGGAACAAAAGGGGAGTAGGGTTTATTATGATGCTTGTTTTACTTTTACAGTACCAAAGTCCTCATTTACTGTGTTCTTACCCAGACCACTCTGCTGCTGGCCTGGCATAGACCGGCCTGGATTTGATGGTCAAAGCCCATGGCCACATCTCGTTCCTCAATAATACTCCGTAATAATAATAATAATAATAATAATAATAATAATAATAATAATAATAATAATAATAATAATAATAATAATAATAATAATAATAATAATAATAATAATAATAATGCTTCAAAGTAAGCAGACCATTTCTAGAGCCCTCATCAGCTTTGTGATTAGTTACCTAAAATGTAATGCAATGTGTTGTTTATTTTTTTTTTTAAATAAAAAAACCCCAACAACCCAGCATGTGGCAGAAAAAAACCAGCTAAGCTAGCTAATTAGATTTGCTTCTTCCAACATATTTCTATCTATATATGGCTTCCAAGCTGAGGATACATGAAATATCAGCCCTATGGATGGGGTGGGGTGGGGGAATCAAATT